GCACAAGGCAACAGGGATGGAGCAGGCTCAGAGCCAAGTGTGAACAGGGACACTGCGCCCATGGCTAGGCCTTGCCGCCTCCCTGAAGCAGGTCCTCAGACCCGCACCCAGGCGTGTGGAGGGCACTCTGCCAGGTGCGTGGCCACCTGGAAGCTCTGCCTCCCTGTTAGGCCTGTGGGTTTACACTCGCAGCTTTGGGTTCTGATTGTGCAATGGGGGGCTTGGTCTCCGTGTCTCCTACATTCTGTGGAGGAGCTCACCACTCTTTCTAGTCTCTTCCTCCCACCTCCATTTCTCCTCCTGGGGTCTGCCAAGATTAGGTGTGTTGTCTCAGCTGTGGCTGTTGAGGACAGTGGCCCATGAGTAGAGGGAAGGGTATTGGCTGGCTACCCACATCCACTGAGGGCTTCCCTAATTCCCAGCAGCCCCTCCCCTCCCCCAGCCCAACAGTGGCAAATATTTTAGCCATCACCAGACCGCATGAACTCTAAATTATGTTCCCCTTTTGTTTTTTCCTGCGGCAGTTACTCAAAATAGCTTTATCCTTAGTCTCAGACTTGGGAAGGGGCTACCATTTGCCCTCTTGGGCCTTGTGAAGAAGGAAACATACTTGCTCAATTTTCCCTGGGGATTTGCAAATTTACCAGGTCCTAAGCCCAATGATTTAAGTATAAAGTTTGGTGGCCAACTCAGGCTATGAAAGTTCTCTTTAAAAAGTCTTTATAGTGACAGTCAATCTTACACATGTAGAAAGCTAATCCAGAAAGAACAAAAAGGAAGACAGAAGGGTCTCTTACAAAGGACCTCTAGAGAAAGAGGAAGGTCCTTTGGGAGAAAGAAGAAGCCCATTTAAAAAAAAAAATTCTTTCGCCCAATATTTCTGACAGTATTTTCCCAATGACCTTTTATCTTGGCTCCATGAGGGACAGATTGGGGCTCAAGGCCGTGACGAGCACACGATGCGGATGAAGCCAGCCTGACAGCTCTTGTCAGATCTTGTTAGGGCCAGGGTCAGGGCCCTTTCAAGAAAAGCTATTTCTAGCTAATGATCTGTCAAAGTATACTTTTTAAAAAAAATTACAACATGATTCATTCAAATATAAAATAAACATGTGTTAAAGACTTTATTCAACTCATTAATTTATGAGGGAAACAATAATATAGTAAAGACTGGCTCAGAAAGCACTTGAGGACTTGGATATTTAGAGGCAACTTAAGATAGAAATGTTGCGATAAGATTGCTGGCTTAAATACAGAAGTGGTTAATGTCCCACAGGGCAATATATTTGGGACTATTTTTTCTATAAGACAGAAATTATTCACAACTCTACTGGACAAAGATCTACAGGTTAGGTGTGCAAGTGCATTAAGCTGGGACCTTCAAGTAATAGTAAACAGTGGTCCAAAAAGTCCACTCCAATAAAGAAATAATCCTTGGTTGTGCCAGTGCCCCCACATGACATTGAAAGCACGCGTTTCCCGCCTTTTTGCCTTGAGAAATTTTAAATAATTTTTCTTAAAATGGTTTCTCCCAAAAGAACAAACAGGCGCTACTTGTTTGCCAAAGGAGCCAGGAGAGGGTGTGGCTGACACAGTGCAGCCTGCCCGGTGCTGGGGAGGGTTTGATGCCCTTGGGTGTAAAACACCATCTTTAAGAAATGCCCTCATCATTTTTTTTCCATTACAACCCCTTTTTGTAACTCAGTCTCCGGCAAATTCTGAGTTTGGGCTGGCTCTTTGAAGAAGCACCATCAGGGTGCACCCACCAAAGCTGCCCACTGCCCCCTCCAAATGGACAGGATCCTTGTGCCCACTTTTCTCACAGGCCTGCATTCAGCTGGCGGCCCCTTATTCTGCATGGCACAAGGCGTGGAGCCCGAGTTCCGTGCCCCAGCCACTCGTGCAAGTGAAGAGAGGATGCTAGCTCCTTCTTTAATGCGAAGGAGTTCCTCTGAGGTGGGAAATGCTTGTTGACCTTGGAGAGGCCGCGCTGCTCCGGCAGTGGGAGGGGGTGTGCGGCATTTCCTGCCCCTCACATTCCTGGGGACCCAGCCAGAGATGAGCGCCTGCAGCTCAGAGAAGTCCGAGGGCTTCTCCCTCTCTCTCCAGGCGTGTGTGCACCTCACCACCTGTATGACAAAAGCGCAATGGTGGGCGACACCCACCTGACAGGCGCAGGGCTCTCAGCCTGACTCCCTGGGAGAGCAGCAAAGGAAGGTATGTACTGAGGAAGGTTCGGGGCCCACACTTCGGCCTGGTATGAGGAGAGGTTGAAAAATTAGCAAGTCAGTTCCTGCTGCTCCTGAACAGTGCAGAACAAAAGTCACCTCCCTTGAGGACGGTCTCTTCTTTTGCGTGTCCACCCATGTGACTGGCTGGCACGCTTTGCGAGGAAGGATTTCTGCTGGTGCCTGTGAGAAAGCGCCAAGGGCCAGGGAGACTTGGGCCCTCAACTCCAGGAGTCAGAATTGTAAATGAAAGAAAAAAATACAGTCACATAAGACATTTGCAAATGTGCCCCATGAGACATTTATACAAGTTCCAAGTATATTGGGCAAATTGAAGAGCAGGAAGAAGTGTCTGCACACAGAGAGTTGAAGTTCACCCATGAAGACGCTGGAGGAAGGAATTTTGAGCAGGATTTTGGAGAAAGGGAGTCTGGATGGGCAGAGAGAGGAGGGGGTAGGATGCCACACGCAAAAACATGAGGTGGAAGTGCCCGCTGCATGTGCTTGGCTGGTGACGATTAGGGGCCAAGACTAAAAAGAGAAGGCAGGAAAAGCTAGGATGAGCGCTGAAAGGTGGGGACCGCGAGGTGACAAGATCCTGGATGTGTCTGAAGATGAGGGAAGACATTTTATTTTCAAACTCAGGAGCGGAGATGACTCTCCACTCTTCCAGGCCCACCTCTGTGCTCACAAATTTATGTTAAGCTGTTCTAACTGCCTATTTCTTTGGCCACCTTTCCTTGGCAGAAAAGAAGCCTTAAGCCCTGGCTCGTTGGTTGGAGAGTTGTCCAGCGCACCAGAAGGTCATGGGTTCAATTCCCGGTCAGGGCACATACCTGGGTTTCTGGTTCAATCCCTGGTTGGGGCACGTACAAAAGGCAACCAATCAATGTTTCTCTCACATCGATGTCTCTCTCTCTCTTAAAAATCTATAAGCATAAGCATATCATCAGGTGAGGATTATAAGATTATAAATAAATAAAAAGAAGAGAAGAATTAAGGCATCTACTCGAGAGCTTGCCGTGACTTTCATCCCATCTCCTCTGCGCCAGTGCTGTGTGTGAGATGGCCTTTGTGCTGGCCCTGAACCCCCTCAAACCACCTCCTTCTGAGGGCCGATGGACACCAAGGAGAATCTGCCTAAATGACCCAATAAATAAGCTGTAACAGGGTGTGTTCTCCACTGTCCGAGGGCAGGTGAGGGTCCCTCCCCTCCCCCTGAGAGCCCTCTGGCAGCCCAGCCTTCATTGCTTTCGGATATGGGCCTTTACGCTTTTCGGGGGGCCTTGGAATGGAGGTCCCCTGAAGTGCAGGCCCTGGTAGGTGGGTCTCTCCCACACCCCAGCAGGACTGTGTTTGGGGCCACAGAAGTGGACCCTGCCTGCTACCTTTGCGTTCTCCCTGCTGCAGTCTCACCTCCCCCAGGTGGCATGGAGGACCCCAGGGGAAGGGCAATGAAAAGCCAGGATTAACATTTCCAAAGAGCCCGCCATAGAGCTGCCATGTTTCTTCTTCAGCCCGAATCACTTCAGGTCCTTCAAACTTTCAAAGGGCTCTTGGTTGCTTGTAGAACAACACTCTTCCCTGTGTGGCATGAAAAGACCTTGGCAATTTGATCTCATCTATTCTTGTCCAGACTTCCCTTCCACTGATTTTCATAAAATCTCCCCGCAAGCCCGCAGCCTCTTCCTACCGCACGCATGCTAACCGCTTCCCTCCACCCAGAGTGGCTGTCTCCCTCTCTCCGCCTCATCGCTTCCCTGACCCTGCTCTTTGGTCAGTGTCCATTTTCAGTGTAATCTGGCCCTGAGCCCTCCTGTGTCTTCCAGCCCCAGGAACATGCATCTGCCACTTGATCTCACCACTCAGCGCCTTGTGCTGTCCTAGGACATTTAGGCACCATAAGCCCAGGACGCGTGCCCCAGCTGCTTGGACAGAAAGGGTCAGCTCCTCCACCTGCTCGCCCAGAGCCTAGCACCCGCACAGGCCCCTCTCCCAACAGCAGGCGTTTCTGGGAGTCCCTGGGGCTCTGTGTCCCACAGGGGCTAGCCTGCCATGTACCACTGCTCTACCAGCCCCCAGGGACCACGTCAGTGTGGCTGCGCCAGGCGGCCGGCACCTGGATTCACTACATTTCCCTCTCGCGAATACCAAGGCCCCACAGCGGCCTATAGCACAACAGGTGGAGCGGGGTAATGGCTGTTTCTTTTTTGAGCTCCACTGTATTAGAGATACCCCGATACAGTGCACCACTTAATTTCCAAGTTGTATGTGACCAGCTCGTGCAGTTTTACTTACGGGCAATGACCCCAGTCTATCTTCTGCCCCTGCCCTGCAGAGGAGGGTGGGACTGAGTAAGAGTCAGGCACCAGATCTTTCCGAACCCTCAGGTAGTGATATTTCAGTCCGTCTATATCTTGCTGTGATGGTGAGGAGCGAGGGGCTAGCTGGGGGATGGCCATCTTGCCTCCCTGGAGCCCCAAACCCCAGTCAGCCAGCTGAGCACTCCCCCACCCCCAGCCCCACCACTCTGAGCAGCTGCAGTTTGCAGTCTCTACAAAACTCTCAGATACCTTTCCCCTCCTTTTTGGACCTTGGAGAGACATTTTAGACCATGGAAATTCAATTCATGGTGTGTCTCACAGAGACAGGATATGACAGGGACTTCCTCCTTTTGTCTATCTTTCTTGGTTTTTACAGCAAACAGCATGTGTCTTAAGGTGGAAGGTGGGTGGGTAGGTTTGTCACACATGAGCTGGCCCTCTCAACTGGGACCACGACTCTCCACAACAATCGTCTCCTTTGCACCAGAGCTCGGATCGCCAGGACTCATCTGCCATTTCGGAGCATTTGCTGCAAGCCGCCAGGTACATGGCACAGTCTCAATGCCTGTCTAAGCCACCACCTTTCAGAAATGGAAAGCAGAAAATGGTGGCTTTTGGAGAGAGCGCAGATGGCTTGGCCCCATCTTACCAGCGGAGCCTGACTGCGGGGTGGGGTGTTTGGCGTGTGGAGATGCCCGTGGGGCAGTTCCACCCGAGGAGGCAGGACTCTGACACCCCCCATTTTCCCTCCAGCCTCACTGAGGGTCTCTTCTCGGGGAGGTTCATCTCCCTTAGAGACTAGGGGTAGAAACTCTCCTGTGGGCCTATTGAAATTAAACCAAAGCAAGCCAGTGAGCGTCAATCGACAGCTTGTGGAGGGCCAGCTTAGGACACGGGGCGACAGCTTAGGACCTGGGAGTGGGAGGAGGGCAGAGCACGCCCTGCTACTCAGCCCCAGCTCGCCAAGTAGCAAAGGCAAAAAGTTACCTTTAAAGAGAGACTCAGGGGCTGAGGAACTGGCAATCAAGAGACTTAAGAACTTGACGTGCAGGAGGAGAAAACTGGAATGGGGTTAGAGTGGGGCCAGGGAGAAAATGAGAAGGGAAGAAATAAGGGGGGAAAGGGGCTCCCCCGGGCGTAGGGTGGCAGCATTTCTTTGGCGGCACCAGGATGCACAACCCTTACTCCTCGCTGGGCCTTTGGGAGGGAACAGGCCAGAGGCGCCCTGGAGAGCAGGGAAACCGTACCTGCCAGCAAAGCTTAGCTCCTGCCCAAGGCCCCCTTTCTGTCCGCCCTCCCCATCACAGGGTCCCCCATCTCCCAAATACTCAGCGCATCCAGGACCCCCTTTCCCCCAGCAAAACCTCCTTGCCTGAACCAGAACCTGAAACCCATTTACGCTGTGGTGCGAGTAGCTGAGGCGGGACAGCGTCTCCCTCGCAGGGTCCTTGCTCTCCAGTGAGGACCAGAGCCTTTAAACCCCAGAGGTGGGAAAGGGTGGGCTGCAGGCAGCGGGTGGGAGGAAGGGTGCCCTTGGTGGTGCCATGGGGCAGTCAGCCCCTCTGAAGTGCCTTCGGGAAATTGCCAGACTGTCTCCCTCTCATTAAAGGCTTTCAGGGCATGTCCTTGTGTGTTGGGGGCGAAGAGGCCACAGGGCATGTGCCTTCTGATCAAGAAGATGCCGCTCATAAGCTCTAGGGGAGACTCCACTTTTGAATGGGGCTTTTAGATTGTCATTCACTTGTTGGTTGCTTGGTTGAGTCATTGGTCTTGGGGCTGATGCCTGGGGATTCGAGCCTCTTAAGTGCACAAGAGATGTTGTCAGGGTAAGTGTTGTGGCCAGCCGGTCCCTAACAGGGGTCAGGGGTCAGGGGTCATGATGGTCTGGGGGACTGAGACTGAGGTCCTAACACACGGCACAGCTGATGAGGAATTTGTATACAGAGAAGCACAGAGCTTGGAGTGAGCCCCGCTCTACCAGCCCCTCGCTGCGTATAGGCTGATCACCTCGCCTCCTGTGCCTCAGTTTCCTTGTCTGTGGCAGTAATAATCATAATATTTCTGGTATAGGTAAATAGATCCTAAGCTCTTGATTTGTGCTGATTTTTTATTACTCTGTGTGTGTGTGTGACCTCCTCCTGCAGCCTCGGTGACAGACATCACATGGGTGTGTCACAACAGACAACTGCAGCCCTGCAGTCATTCCAGGGCCTGGAACACACTGACTGCCCCGACCCCCAGAGGGGGCAGCCTCCCCTGCCCCGGAGTCCTGGGGCATGTGCCCCTCCTGTGAGGCACGCCCGCCCCCAGCTGTGGGCCCAGCGAGCCATGGCTGCCGCAGCGAGGACTCAAGTTAACAGCTAACACAGCACTTGACTAAGTCCTCGGAGCCCGGCCAGTCCAAATGGACCCGGGAGGTGTCCAGAGCCCCTCTTGTTTGGAAGGCACTGGCCGGTGCTGCTAGAGCCTCATGGTTTTGCCCTCCTGAGCCTCTATGGTAAGAGTCCAGAAGAAAAGACTGAAGCCCAAAAGAGAAGGGAACAGGGCGAAGGGGAGAAAACTCAGCCCTGTTGTGGGGCTCTTCGCTGCTGGCTGCCCGGCCTGACGTACACGTTCCTGCCGTCAGCCAAAAGGGTGAGAGGCTGGACTGCCTGGCCCGAGCCTAGACCCCGGCCCAAGGCCTCTGTGCGCTGGTAATTGTGCAAATAGTCGTTGCAGTAGCTGCCAGCCATTAAAACCGACTTCACCCCCCCACAGCGGCCCTACTGAGGCACAAATTGAGCTGGTCCAAGTTGCCTCCCCTGTCCACCTTCCCATCAGCATGTGAGCTCCAGGAGGGAAGGGTTCCTGGGCCCTGGCCCACTGGCCTCACAGGCTATTACCGTCCACCCCCATTGTATTTCCAGCTCAGGGGTCACCTGGGGAGTCTCCCCTCTCTCATTAAGTCACCTGCCCACCTCCTCTGGCCACTATTATGCTGAATGACCTAGCAGTTTTCAAGTCCTTCATCTAAACCTGCTAGTGGTATTGCTGACAGTGCAGGTGGGGCTCTGCAGCCACAGGACCCCAGGAGCATGTGCCATGTCACAGGTCTGTGTGAAAGGAAAACCAAACAGTGGCGTGGGGTGGCAGAGGAGGGAGAAGGGAGACTGAGGACGATGACAGTAGAAACTTCATGAGGCTTCCCCTTCCCCTTGGGGCTCTACGATGGGGTGAAGGGAGAGGGCTGCAGGCTCTGGAAGATGATGGAGAGTGAAGAGTGGCTGTTTGGAAGGTGGAGGCAGAGGGAGGAGGTGCTGACTTTAATTTAGAGCACCCAACCAACCCATGGGAGGCTTAGAAACCCTCTGAGTTGGCGCTGATATCTTCCATTGTTCAAGCAAGGAAATTGAAGTATAGCCAGCTACAAAATTTGCCTAAAGTCCCACAACTAAACAAAAGACAAATGTGGAGAGGATTGTATATCTCCCAAGGTGCATTGGCTGCCCAGGCTCACTGGCTATAAGACTGTGAGACATTCCACAAATTTCAAGGGGGTGTCAGGAGCAAGAGGGACAGCCCTCGCCTGTATTGGGGCTGGGTTTCCTGGACCACAGATGGGGGAGGGGTAGCTAGATGGGACCACACCATCACTGTGGCCTCAAAGATGCTATAGACTCAGGGACCGTCCCCAGCTAACCTCCTGGAGGCTACACCTAAGGTTCTAGGACTGGAGGGAGGTGTCCCAGGTGTGGTTGAAGTTGGCCAGCAGCTGCCAGGCATGCGTCCCATTTCTGAAAGATCAGAACTCTGTGTTTGTTTTTCTGCTTAGGGGATCTGATGTTCCAGGCCAAGGGACATGGGAACAGGGTGAAAATGCATGTGAAAGTTTTGACAGGCTTCCCTTCGTAGAAAGTCACTAAATCCTAGCTGAGCCCCAACACACTGTGTGGCTCTATTTCTGGCTCTAAAACAATGTGAATCTCAGAAGCTGCTTCCTCTAGGAGCCTTTGGCCCTTTCCTCATGTGGCCCCGTGGGTCCGAGCAGGGCCAGTGATGCCATTAGCCGTGCTGCCTGGTAAAATTAGAAGCAGCTCTCACATCCGGCTGTGGTTTAAAAAAAGCCAGGCTCTGGGGTTGTTAAGAACCAGACAAAAGATAACTGAGGCACTGATAGATCTCCTGCCTGACGGGTCAGGTTCCAGCTCTGCTGTGTCACCCCAGCATCTCTTTGTCCCCCTGCAGGTGGCCCTACTGCTGAGGAGATGGCAGATTTCCCAGTCTCCCTGGACTCCTTTCAGCGGGTACCTCAGCCCAGCAGTGTCTTCTTCCTCACCCACCTCGTCCTCTTCCTCCAGCCTGGGGAGACAAACTCAGGTAGCGTATCTGATCTGCAGCCAGCCAGCCAGCACGTGAGCATATCAGCCTCTGCCTACCCCTCCTGCAGGTGCTCCCAGGGCTGAGAGCCTGTAGCCACGCCACGTGCTAGTATTTAAGAAGATTTCCATCCCAGTGGTTAAAGAGCCGCTGGCCCCAAGCACCATCCAACCACCCAGTGTTCTTCCACCATCTCTGCCCCAGCCACCCTGCATATTCCTACCCCCCC